AAGCGGCCTCGCTCGGCGTGCAGGGCTTCGGGCTTCCTGCGTGTCGGGTCGCTCGCTGGACCCGTGAGGACCATGCAGCGTCCGGGGCCCCGGAGAAGAAACACTCGGTGGTTTGCGTCCTGTGTCCCTTTTGCAAGATCCTCGCGGGAGATGGGCCTCCCCGTGGTTTGGGCCGCAGCTCGCAGCTGGGAACTGCTGTTTGCTGTCTGGGTGGGGAGAGAGCTCTGTGATCTCTCCCAGGGAGGGGCTCCCCCGCCCCCCCAGCTCCAGCCGCTTGGGCTGCAAGAGTCTTGGCTTGGCCCGGCCGGCGTGGCCCAGTGGCTGAGCGTCGTCCTAGGAACCAGGAGGTCAGGGTTCGATTCCCGCTCAGGGCACAGGCCCGGGTTGCGGGCTCCATCCCCAGCGTGGGGCGTGCAGGAGGCAGCCGGTCCGTGATTCTCTCTCATCATGGATGTTTCTCTCTCTCTCTCCCCCCCTTCCTCTCTCTGAGATCAAAATATATATTTTTTAAAAAGTGGGAGGTACTGTGTCCTCAGGACTTGCGGTTTTTTCTGTGCTGCTGATGAGCGGTGAGATGTGTGGGGTCCCGGGGGGAGGGGGTGGTCAGCCTGCGGACGTGAACAGCCCGTGTCCTGCTGTCTGTCCTGGGCTCATCCCAGGTCATGCTGGTCCGGTGACCAAATCCGAAGGCTGCCCACATGGGTGATCATACGTGCAGGTGGGAGGCGCAGTCTTGTGGTCCCTGATTTATTTATTTATTTATTTACTAGAGGCCCAGTGCACAAAATTTGTGCACCAGGGCGGGGGGAGGGGGTCCTTCAGCCCAGCCTGCACCCTGTCAAATCCAGCAGTCGGGCATCCTGCGGGATCAGGCCCAAACTGGCAGTTGGACATCCCTCTCGCAATCCAGGACCGCTGGCTCCTAACCGCTCACCTGTTCGGCCCTAACCGCTCTCCCCTGCCGGCCTGATCGCCCCTACCCTAGCCATCCTCTCTCTCTAAAAATCAATTTAAAAAAAAAGCATATCCTTGGGTGAGGATTTTTAAAAGAAGGAAGCTAGAAAGGAATAAGGTTGAGTCAGGCACATATTGAAGTATTTCCTTAGCTAACATTTTAAAATATCCCTTGGTCATGTGGGAGCTAGTTCTTAACTACCTAGACCAGGAATACAAATTCCTATAGAAAATCTGCCTTTTCAAAATAAGATAGATTTACAAAAATTGTCTCACCTCTTTCTCTCCATCATTGCTTGCTTTTTCTATTTTTCTCTCCAATTCCCATCCCCTAACTCTCCCAGGTTCTTATTGCCAACAATGGCATTGCAGCAGTGAAATGCATGCGGTCTATCCGTCGGTGGTCCTACGAGATGTTTCGAAATGAACGTGCAATCCGATTTGTTGTCATGGTCACACCTGAAGACCTTAAAGCCAATGCAGGTGAGTTATTTGCATTAAGAAAGCATCACTCTAGAGCAGCCGTGGGCAAGGATCCGGCCCTTTTGAAATGAATAAAACTAAAAAAAAAAAGACCGTACCCTTTTATTTAATGATGTTTACTTTGAATTTATATTAGTTCACACAAACACTCCATCCATGCTTTTGTTCCGGCCCTCCGGTCCAGTTTAAGAACCCATTGTGGCCCTCGAGTCAAAAAGTTTGCCCACCCCTGGTATAGATGTTAAACCCTCACCCGAGGATATTTTTTCATTGATTCTTAGAGAGAGTGGAAGGGAGAGGGAGAGACAGAGAGAAACATCGATGTGAGAGACACATCGATGGGTCGCCTCCTGCACGTGCCCCGACCAGGGCCCGGGCCGGGGAGGAGCCTGCAACCGAGGTCCATGCATTTGACCGGAATCGAACCCAGGACCCTGTGGTCCGCAGGCCGACGCTCTATCCACTGAGCCATACCAGCTAGGGAGAGCTCAGAATTTTATTTATTTTTATTTAAATATATTTTTGTTGATGTCAGAGAGGAAGGAAGAGGGAGAGAGAGAGAAACATCCATGATGAGAGAGAATCACGGATCGGCTGCCTCCTGCACGCCCCACACTGGGGACGGAGCCCACAACCCGGGCATATGCCCTGACTGGGAATCGAACCCGGGACCCTTAGGTCCACAGGCTGACGCTCTATCCACTGAGCCACACCGGCCGGGGCGAGCTCAAAGGCATTTTAAAGATAACTGTGCCTCCCACACCCGCTTGAAGTTTGGCCTCAGTGCTCCGCCCCGCCCCCCATCCTTTTAGGAGTTTTGAGAATTCGATCTCTTTTTTTTCCCTGAACCCTGAAATGTTTGTGACAGTTCCCGGCATGGACGCCAGGTGGCGGTGTGGCCCCACGGCTGGCTGCGAGGTGCGTTACCGCAGAATCCTGCTGGCCCTGCCTCACTCAGCAAGTCCTGCATCCCGGCCTGTCCTCCCATCTCCCGGCTCTCCGCCGCTCCCGCTGGTGCCCGGATGCCCGAAAGCGTGGTCGGGGCACGTCTGTCCCTCCTGTGGCAGCTCTGCGGTTTCTTTCGTTTTTTAAAAAAATGCTTTTATTGATTTCAGAGAGGAAGGGAGAGGGAGAGAGAGAAACATCAGTGATGAGAGAGAGTCACGGATCGGCTGCCTCCTGCACGCCCCACACTGGGGATGGAGCCCCCAACCCGGGCATGTGCCCTGACGGGGAATCGAACCCTGACCTCCTGGTTCCTAGGCCGACGCTCAGCCACGGAGCCACGCCGGCCGGGCCCTTGGGTGTGAGCACTGTGAATGTGGCACAAAGTTAAGTAAAAAGGGAAATCTCGCTGCAGGATAAGTGCTGTGGGGAGCAGTGCCCCCACGATGGGGGGAGACGGGGAGACGGGGAGCGTGGACCCTCTGGCACCGCCCGAAGCATCCGCGCAGCCCGCGGGGGATTCTGGTGGAGACTCCTTCACGTTTGCACACGGCCCCAACCGTTAATGAACGCTGCTCGCTCGGGTGACCTTTCATTTGACCTTTCCTTGTCCGGAACCCGTGTGATGGTCGGGGAGAGTGACCGTTTCCTGCTCTCGGGCGGGTGGGGACGGTTGGACAGCCGTGTGTCTGAGGGCACGTAGCCCCCTCTGTGCCAGCTGCTCCTTCGCCATTAAAAGTACCACCTGTCAGGGAACTCACCGGTGACCTTGCTAAACCATGACCTTGCTCACCCGTGACCTTGCGCACCCGTGACCTTCCTCACCTGTGACCTCGCTCACCTGTGACCTTGCACACCCGTGACCTTGCTGACCTGTGACCTTGTGCACCCGTGACCTTGCTCACCGGTGACCTTGCTTACTCGTGACCTTGTGCACCCATGACCTTGCTCACTTGTGACCTTGTGCACCTGTGACCTTCCTCACCTGTGACCTTGCACACCTGTGACCTTGCTAACCCGTGACCTTGTGCACCCGTGACCTTGTTCACCTGTGACCTTCCTCACCTGTGACCTTGCTCACCCGTGACCTGGCTCACCTGTGACCTTTGTCCTTTCAGGATGGACTTTGACGATGAGGACGGCGAAGGCCCCAGCAAGTTCTCCAGGTGAGAAGCCAGCGGCCGGCAGCCCCTCCTGGGGACGCGCACAGACTGAAGCGTCTTTTTAAAAAGTATTTATTTCTGTTGCTGTCAGAGGGGACGGGAGCGAGAGGCGGAGAGAAACCTCAGGATGAGCGAGGATGGTGGCCGGCTGCCTCCTGCACGCCCCCCGCGATTTAAATGTCCTGCGACCCCGACGAGGCCCCTGCCCGCGGTGGGACCCCACGCCCGCCCCTCGTTGGGGGCCGGTGACAGGAAGTGGGCAG